GCTGAAAAGCTTGTATCAATTTAGCCACTCCAGAAATACAGAACAGCAGCAGTCAAAACAAAACAAAAACACAAAAACCCCCACATCCAACATTCAAGAAAGACAGCAAGAATCAAACCTGCGTTTGAAATCTGAGATCTAAGGAAGAGTCTATGTCAAACTGCCATGGCTGCATGCTTCTTTACTTCCACATTATGCTTTGCTGCTACTGAAATACTATTTAATCTTTACAAAAAGCTATTTGGAGGCTTTGTACACAGGATCCCAAACAGAAGAACTGCAGGTTTGCAATAGCTCTGCTAAGATAAACAGAATTAATCCAGAGAATACTGTAGCAGCAGGACAGTCAGGGAATTCTGCCTCTGGAAAGAAAAATGCGTACGATCAAGACTTTGCAGGCAGAGCTTTCACACTAGAAAAAGGATCAAAGAGTTAGGTGGCCCCGTAATGATTACAGAAACAATAAACAGAAGAGATTATTCTCATATCATTTCCTGACACCTGTTAAGCCTGCTCTGTTGAAATGCTCAGGAGAATAAATTTCAGTGGTAGGAGCCATTACCAAATTGTAAAATGTTTACAGATTTCAAAAACAAGCAGAAGACACTCATTTCGTTCCCAGTGTCCAGAGAAGATAATACAGCAACTGGGACGCTATCTTCAAATCAAGCCTGTATTTCACAGAGCACAAAATGACAACATAGAGCAGTTTGAGCTTTTCTTGAACTAGTGATGTGCAGGTCAAGAGTAGAATTTCAGTCAATTTGGTATCTACAGAGTTGTATTACCCTCCATTCTTCAAATTTCATTAAAAATAACCTGACAATTTTGTTTTAAAAGAACAGGTTTTACCTTTGTATATCATCAAAGCTCATGTTTTAAAACGGAGTAATTAAAAGATGCATCAAAAACACAGATGTCAAGGACAAAAACAAAACACAACTGGAACAACTGCAACGCTGGCCTCCCCAGGATTTTGTTTCAGTTTTAGTCTGGGGTATGAGGTCACAACCTCAAGCCTTGGATGAATTCCTAAGCTAGTGTAACTGAAAACTGGAATATGCAATCTTGCACAACTGACAGTTTCTGCGTAAAAAGGTTCAAATAAAGATACAGAGTACTTGGAACTGCATGTTATCTAGAAGATTAAAACTTGTGCAGTGAGGATAATTCAGCACTAACCTAAGTTTTAGCAATAAAAGGCTACTAGTATTTCTAGGATCAGTCAATTCTTAGTACCTAGAGCAAACGCAATCAGTTTTCTTGTGTCATGCAACTAAAAGTAGTGGCTCTTTTTTATGGCACTCAGGCTACCAGCTGATTCTTAAGCAATTACCTTAGATACATATACACCTAACCTATGACTGTACACATTAGGAATCTGCAATTGCTTAAATTTCCAAATGAAAGCTAGTTCACAACTGAGGAGTAGGGCACTTTTATTTACATTTAAGTGTGAGGTTTAATCAGGAAAATATAGGAAAGATTACTAGATGAGGCACATACATGTCAATGAATATATCTGTACAGGACAACTTCAAATAAATGCACTGCAAGTAAAATATCTTATGTGCTAGCTTCCCAATTAATGAGCTTTATATCCTGCAACAGGATCTCAGTCAGCTCAGAAGAAAGGTCACTTCCCAGTTTATTTTGTAGATATGTAGGTGCTTTAGATGATTAGTGATAAAGTTCCTTCAAGGTAAAAATATCTAACTAAATCTTATATAGTTCTGCTCTAGTACATGACATGAACCACATCTGAATGAGTGGATTCTCAAAATCTGTTAGCTTCCTCTAACTAAAAAGGCACGGCATAAGAAACATAGTAATCAGGTTAAAGGACTGGGAGAGTACTTGGGGGAATTATCGTATGTCCTCATCCTGTCCTTACTCTTCTCTGGGTACAACCTAAACGCAGAGATGCCCGTCAGATGGGCTGCCGGTCTGCACCGGTGCAGCTGGTCTTTACCATTTCACTGTATCCTGTAAACTGTTCACATATTCAAGTATCTCATTTCCAACTTGCCACTGGTTTTAGACTAGTAAGGCCTGCAGTTGACTCAACATCTGTCTTACTAAAATTTTCACAGAAACGCATTTCTCCTTGAATCTTTGACTTGCTCACTGGAGGACTCTGAAGGGATACTGATGCACCTAGAATGCTAGTGGCAAACTTGCGCACAACAGATCAGGAAATAGGATAATACTTCAGTAAGCTGAATGGAAATGAATAATCACCAAGCACTTTTCCTTTCTCCATTTCTAATTAAAAAATTTAAAAAAATTAAAAAACAAGGGGGATGGAAGGAGTCATATCATTTATGTTGTTCGTCTAAGGAAGAGCTAGAAAGAAAAACCTTAAAAATTTTGAGTCATTTCAGTCAGTCTGCAGCCCCTGACAATCACTCCTCATTTTAAGCACTCAAAACAATGTTTCATTAAGTATTTCCAGGTGAATATTCCACAGCACGAGGATTATCTATGCTTGCCCTTATCTATCCACTCATGTTTAATGACAAAGACAGTTTGTTTACCTAAGACGACTTCAGCAATCTGATCAAGCGCAGTAGTTCTTGCTAACACTGTAAACTGCTACACAGATACACACACACACAAACTTTTGGAGCAGGGACCAGGAAGATGAGGGCTTCCAGACGACTAAGAAAGTGCAACTGAATGCTCTATTAGTATCACTGTCCTCAATGAATCAAGTTCTGCCTGCACAAGAATACTTATAACCAACTAATAGTTTAAAGTAAATAAATAAAAACATAAAAAGCTGGCAAATTCCTTGCTGTACTGCAATAAGTTTCCATACACTAATTGTGACAATCCCTACCAAAGTTAAAAAAAAGAAAAAAATCATTCCTAGGACTTGAGGGAATTATCTAAAGTACCACAGAAGGATACATTTATGAACTTGGGCGATTTCTGCACTACATCAGGTTAATAAAATAATCTGCCAGTTTAAATTAAAGTGTCAGGAGAGTATATACAGAGATGCATGTAATCATTTCATGTACTACAGTCATAAGGAAGTTTCGTTAATGGTTACTGGCAAGCTTTTTATTCAATCACAACCTGCTACACAGGCAAAACATTTTTGCTTTACAGTGAGTTAGTGTTGGGGAAAAAAACAAAACATGATCTTAACTGAGGAAATACAAGATAAGTTTAGCTTGCAAAATATTTATCTCTACATAGCGTGCCTTTTGAAATCAAACAGACTTTTCACACTTAAAATAGAAGGGTTTGTAGTCCAAAATAAGCTTAGTTAATGTCAGATTCCTGTGTTTGGGTGGTAAGGAGAAGAGGAAGGAAAGAGGAGCAGTAAGATGGAGAGGTTTCAGAGACTAATATCAATAAGCGTGCACCACGTTCTTTCTGGAAGCAGATGTCACTGTCCCTTACTGTTTCTTGTTACCTCGGTGTTTGAATAGAGGCCAGACATTTAGAGCGAAGTAGAGAAACCACCTCTGCTGAACAGATTGAGAACATCTGACACAAGCTCCAGGAGCTGCACCGTCTTTCTCCTGGTCTCGGGTGGAGAGGCCTACGACATCTATTACGATATGTTGCCTTAAGCAGCATGAGACTGACCTACTTGATTTGCTCCCTCCTCTTACAACGCTGTCACAGCTGCTGGCAGACAATCCTTCACTGCAGGAAGCTGACAGCTAACAGTGTTCTCCATGAGTACACCAAGATTCATGTTCGCTTTCAGCATTTAGCAACACTGTTAGTATA